ACAGGTAAAGGGGGCCGGAGAGATGGCTCAGAAGTTAAAAGTGCACTCTATCTTTGCAGAGGGTCTGAGATTGGTTCCCAGCACCCATGGTGGATGGCTCACAACTGCCTAAAAATCTAGCTTCAGGCATTCAGACACCTCTGGCCTCCATGGGCACCTGCAGCCATACACACAGAAACTTACAATAATAAAATAAGGGGCTGGAGAGATGGTTCAGTGGTCAAGAGCACTGAGTGCTCTTGCAGAGAACCCCATTTCCATCTCCAGCACTCACATGGTGGCTCATAACCACCTGTAATTCCAGTACTAGGGGACCCGACACCCTCTTCTGACCTCTGCAGGCCTCAAGCACACACAAAATGCACTTTCACAAATCTAGGCAAAGCACCCACACATGTAAAATAATCAAGTCCTTAAAAATAACACATAAACTAGGTAGTGGTGCATGCCTTTAATCTCAGCACTTAGTAGACAGAGGTAGACAGATCTCTATGACTTCGCCAGCCTGGTCTACAGAATGAGTTCCAGGGCAGCCAGTGCTACACAAAGAAATTCTGTCTCAAACAAAAACAAAAAAAGGATCAGGAGTTCAAGGTCATCTTCAGCCTTATACAGAGTTCAAGGCCAGCCTAGGTTACGAGAGACACTATCTCAAGGGGGAAAGAAAGCTTTAATTTTTTTTTTAAAGAAAGTTTTAAAAAGACGGGGAGGTGGTGGTGGACATGCAGATCTCTGAGTTCAATGTCAGGCTGGTTTATAGAGTGTGATCCAGGATGCCAAGGCTACACAACACAGAGAAACCTTATCTCGAAAACAAACAAACAAATAAATGACTACTTCAGCTAATAAGCAGGGAACAGAATTGGGAGGATGATTAGGAGTTTCCTAAAATCTAGTCTGGACATGGCATCTGCTGGTATACATTCATACAGAATTGCTCTCTCATTGTACATGCCACTAATCTATACAATTAACATATTTTAATGCTCACTAAGTAAATGCAATGATGGGAAAACTTCTATGAATTGCTAATACTATAATTAAAAAATACTGCTCACTGACAGGCTTTGTTTCAGATAACTAACTTCCTCTACTATGAGCAACAGGGCCTCTCCAATTTTCAGTTTCTGGGCTTCCAGGGGAAAACATATGCCTACCCTCCACTTAGAGTGAGTTGACTGAAGAGTTTACATGACCCTGACCCCTTCCCAAGCTGCTCCATACATTCTACCATGAGGACACTTAACCTGAAAGTATGTTAATCGAACTTTCATAAATGATGCAAAATTCTTCTAGGTTAGCTTCTAATTGTTGACACAAACATTTAGTATCACTATAACATTTCAAGATTCCTCACTGATGTTACACAAAAAATACTCAAAACATCAGAGCATTAAAAACATTGTTCGTCAGGTTCGTGGTGCATGCCTTTGATCCAGACCTTCTGAAGGCAGAAGTACAATGATCTCTGTGAGCACCATGGTCTACCTAGGAAAATCCTGTTTCAAAAATACAAAACAAGAGCTAAAAAGACACCTCGGTACCTTAAGAGCACTGATTGCTCTTACAGAGGAACAGAGTCCCATCCCCAGCATCCACATGGCAGCTAACTCAAACACCAAGGGATCTTGATGCCTTCTTCTGGCCTATTCAGGCATCAAGCACACACACACACACACACACACACACACACACGATACACACACATACAGGCAAACACCTATACACATGAAAATAAGTAAATCTAATTTTTTCAAAATAAAAAAACAAAAACCCAAAACCTAAAAGAACAATCCACATTTGTTTAAGTGATCATTAAATTTTGTGCGCGTTGCCTATGCACCAAGAAATTAAATCTGAGACATGAGAGCTGATAAAAACCAATATTTAAATACAATGTTATAAAACATTATTTCCAAACCAGAGTTAAATGAACAAATTTGCTGTTCCACTAAGAGACTATTTAACTTTATCAATAATGTGTGACTGATTAATCCACAAGTGCTTAAAAGTGTAATTTAAATCCTTCAGGCCTGTGGTTTCCAAAGCTCATGCATATTCACTTTCAAACTGGTAAGTCCTTTCCTTTAAGTCTTATTTTATCTGCTTTATCTGAGTGTATCTGCTTAAGTTACTAACTAAAAGCAATAATGTTAAATTTTAGTTGGTGCTTTCTAAAAGCATCTTTATTTCTAAATAGAAAAGCTCTCAGACACACTCTGTGCACACAGAACAAAAACCAGTTATGTGTGTTTTCATTTTGTTTTGTTTTGTTTTTTTAAGACTTTTTTTTTAAAATGTGTATGGATGAGTGTTTTGCCTGAATATGGGACTTTATATCACTTGTATGCAGTGCCGAAAGAGGCCAGAAGAGGGCGTCAGACTCCTTGGAACTAGAGCTACAGGCAGGGTGCTGGTCCTCTGAAGAGCAGTCAGTGCGAGCCCCTAACTGCTGAACCAGTCATCTCTCCAGCCCCATGGTATTGGTTTTAAAGGCTAAAATAATTCAACTTGCAGGCTTTTCAAAGTGATGTTTGGAAGCTAGACTGCAGCACAGTTAGAAAAACTTCCTTTTGAAAACATATTTGTTCTTATTATTTTTAATTCTCTCTCTGTCTCTGTCTCTGTCTCTCTCTCTGTCTCTGTGTGTGTGTGTGTGTGTGTGTGTGTGTGTGTGTGTGTGTGTGTGTGTTTTCAATGCCTGCAGAGACTAGAAGTATCAGCTCCCTTAGAGCTTGAGTTACAGGTAGCTGTGAGCTGTCAAAATGGGTCTACTCTAACCAATATTAAAAACATTCTTATAAACAACTTGAGGTTCCACCTGCTAACAGCTATTTAGTGTTGGGGGCAAGTTACCTAATTTCCCTTAGCTTTAGTCTCACATCTGTAAGTTACAGGCAGGTACAGACCTATATTACAGCATTGTTGTAAAGATTAATTTAAGAACTGTATATATATAAAATGCTCAGGACATCCAATGTGAAGTACACATTGGGTGCTCAATAAATGTGGCTTTGAATTATTTTTATCTAAGTAATTAGCTACTATTCACAGGTTTCCAAATCTAAAGAAGACCTAGGCCACTGATTGTTAGCCTCAAAGACATCAAGCTGTATCTCAATACGCACGGGACACCTTTAGTCTCTATACAGAAAGAGTTGCTCAGGAACAGACAGGCTGTGAAAACCAACATCTACAAGGCCAAGCAAGGGGCCAGCCTGAGGCTCAGTAGGAAAAGCTGCTCGTCACCAACTCTGACAACCTCAGCTCGATTCCCAGGACCCAAACGGTAGGAGCAAGCAGCCAACTCCCAGAAGATGTTCTCTAACCTCCACACAGGCACTGTGTGGCATACAGACTGCCTGCCCTCCACACAAATAAATAAATGTCAAAAAAAAAAAAAAAACTAATTAAAATACTATGCTGCTGGGCGGTGGTGGCACATGCCTTTTAATCCCAGCACTTGGGAGGCAAAGGCCAGCCTGGGCTACAGAGTAAGTTCCAGGACAGGCTCCAAAAGCTACACAGAGAAACCCTGTCTTGAAAAACAAAACAAAACAAAAAACTATGCTGAAGAACACCTGGCACGATGGCTCATAACCCCACCATTCATGAGGCTGAGGCAGGAGGATCTCAAGTTCCAGCCAGCTTGCCACAAACAGCAATAACTTGTTTCAAAACATAACAAAACAACCAAAAAGAACCTTCTTAAAAAGACGAACTCAGAGTTCGAGGCCAGCCTGGTCTCCAAAGCGAGTTCCAGGAAAGGAGCAAAGCGACACAGAGAAACCCTGTCTCAAAAAAACCAACCCCCCCCCCCCACACACACACACCTCAAAGAGGAAAACTGGTGAGGAAAGACAAGAAAAATCAAAGACAAAAACAGCCCAGTGTTCAATAAAGTGATAGCACAGGACAAGTCCAGCAGGGCTCAGGAGAGGGAGGCCAGCAGACACTGTCAGCACCACAGGACCTGACCCACACAAGTGGCCCATCCCTGGACATCTACACAATCTGGAGACAATCCCACAGGTTTCCAGCAAACTAAACCAATAAACTACACAATGAATCAAGTGTCAGATCTCAGAGAGCATCCCTCTCCCTCACACAGCACCCTGAAATTCATCTCATCCATCTTCTCTTGACCTAATTCTCAGAACTGGAAGAAAGCCTCAAAACTGTAAAAGCTCAAAGTACCAGGTGGTCCACGTCCTCTCCTAGGTTTCTAACTCAATATGCAGTCCAGAATTCAACACTGCCTGACTTTCTGACCAGGCTAAGCATAGTGCTCCATGACCCCACTTGCCCCCTGATGCCGGAAGCTTCTTTTCCGTTGTTCACTTCTGTGGTCCTGAGACTAAACACAAAATCTCACATATGCTGGGCAAACACTTTACACTGAGCTAGATCCTCAGCCTCTTCTCACTTTTATTTTCAGACAGGGGCTTGCTAAATTGCCCAGGCTAGCCTTGAATGCACTCTGTAGAGCAGAGCAGGCCTGGAACTTATGATCCACGTGCCCCACAAGCCTAACTCCAAATTGTTTCTTGAAACCACAAGACTCAGACTCTGATCCTCCATGTGTTGGGATCTCCTGGGGGATTGCAACCAATAATCAATGCCCAGGCTTGGGCAGGTTTGCTCAGCTGATCCATGCAACTGCCACGTGGGCAAACTGAAGAGGCGGCTGCAGGCCTCACACAAGTCCGGTGCGAAGCTGTCAGTGGCCGCAGGAAGGCTCGCAGAATCACACCCAGGACACTGGTTCTTTCTCTGCATGCTGAAATGAACGGTGTGCAGTCTACAGCTCTCAAGAACTCAGCTCGATTCCCAATTTCTAAAATACCAGGTTACTGCTTATACTCCTTCCATCTCAAAAGTTTTTAACTACAATTCATTATTAAATTACAAGTTTTCCACATCAACAACTGTTATAGCAATCATGAAGGAAAACACTTTCCCTGTAAATAAGTACAAAAATGACGGCCAGATTTACTTACATTATGAGTCTTCGGTTTAAGAACCAGTATTTCCTCCGGCTTCTGTCATACCCAATAGGCTCATGTCGAACATACGGTTTATTCTTTTGGACTTCAGCAACACAGTCAGTCACACCAGGCACCTTGTGTGCGACACAGACCTCACACTGCCACTCGTCCTCCGGCACCTCTTCAAGAGGTGGCTTCACACATTCTAAATGGTATACAGCTGAGCATGTCTCACAGCACAGTAAATCTCCCAGTTTGTGACAGACCCTACAATGGTCATCGTACTGGATCACCCCTTCAGACATCAGCTCCTCCCGAGCAATATTGGTCGTCAGGAACTGATCAACTAGAAACTGCAGAACTTTGATTTTGTTCTCCACTGGTCCATATGGATAGTCCTCTGCCTCCTGGTAAGGAAGAACATGATGGTACTCCTTATCACTCTCACAGTACACCCGCAGGACCTCTGGCCACGTCATCCCGTCGATGAAATACAGGGTGGAGTTGACACTGTCTTTCAGATCGGCAGGGCCGAAGGTGGTGTTGGATGTATCCTCTTCGCGCAGAACCGCTTTGAGAAGCGCCACGTGCATCTCGGCCATGAGTGTGCACTGCTCTTGGCTGACCAGAGCTGCGCAGAAGTCCTCAAAGCAAAAAGGGGACAACCTCAACACACTGCCAAAGTTCCGCACGACCTCGTAAATGGCAATGACGTTCATTATATGCTCATTAGGCACCATTAAATCCTCGGAGGACTTCGGAAATTCAAGGGGTGGGATGTCTTTTTCTTCTAATATTGGGGAGCGAGGCCGATGTACTCTTGGTTTTCGCCTACCTGTAAATAAAGACATAATATCATTATAGGTTAATACGGCACCTTGCTCCTACAAACATGCCATCAGACTTTGTACAATATTCAAGTCATACTAATGTCAAGATCAGAGTTAAAGGGTATGGCTCAGTGGTAGGCATTTAACATGCCTAGGCTGGGGCTCATCCCCAGAATTTTTTTTGGTTTTGTTTTTTTGAGACAGGGTTTCTTTGTGTAACAGTCTGGCTGTCCTAGAACTCATCCACCTGCTTTTGCATCCTGATTGCTGGGATTAAAGGCATGCACCACCACCACCCAGCTCATCCCCAGAATTATTAAAATAGCAAAAATAACACCAGCCCGTGTGAAAGCACATGCTGCTTTTAATCCCAGTACTCAGGAGGAGGCAGAGGATGCGGTGAAGCTCTGTGAATTCCAGGACAGCCTGGTCTAAATAGTGAGACACAGTTTCAATAATAATAACAATAACAACAATGAAATAAAGCTCAATGACTTAGTTCTTTAATTTTTATGACAGCCCTACTCTGTACCCCAGGCTAGCCTGGAGCTATATAGTCCATTTATGGCTGGAATTACAAGTGTAAGTCATCATACCTAACACAATAATTTAGTTCTGATTGTTAAGTATACAAAAAAAATCTAAATCCAAAGTTTCCCATCTATCTGTCTGTCTGTCTGTCTTGCCTGCCTGCCTGCCTGCCTGCTTTTGTGTTTTTCAAGACAAGGTTTCTCGGTGTAGCTCTGCTGTCCGAAACGGGGATGGAAGGTGTGCACCTCCACTCCTAGCTTCCACTCAACCCTTTAAAGTGTACTCAACTACCTAAGAATTAGCTACAGGTACCTGGCCTTTTGAAATGTGTTGGTAAGAATCTGACAAAATATAAATAATAAAAAAAAAAAATTAGCTACCTTCATATAAAGTGACCAGCACTGGGAGGGTGGGGCAGCAGATCTCAGACTGAATCAGCCAGACACCTCACAACCAACAAATAATTCCCAGTGTGCCCCCTTCGACAGCACTGCCTGCAGGGGGCTGGTCAAGTACAGGCTTAGGACAGGTGGGGAAACGGAGGCAAAAGAACAGAAAAATTCCAGCACTAGAGAGGAGAAAGCTGTCTTGGCTGGGAAGGCCACAGAGAGCTGTAATTTTTAATCAACCAATTAAGTGCACACAGGCCAAGCACTGCATCTGTCCACCCATCCATCCACACACGCACACAGACCATGCCCTAGATCTAGCTCTCTGTTGTCTCTATCTATGTATAAACACACATTCTGTGTACACACACACAGACCACGCACTAGATCTGTCTGTCTATCTATATATGTAAACACATTCTGTGTTGCACACACACATTGGGTATATACATACATACATATTCTGTGTACTTGGGCACGCACACATGCACACACACAAACACACCAAGAACTTAGGTCTGTAACATGTTCACATATAGCATTTAACACTTTAAATAAGTCTGAGGTATGACAATCAGCCCTACTTTGTAAATAAGCAGTACAAGCAAGAGATGTAAAGATGCTTGTCAAACAAATCTGATGAACTCCAAAGTTGTCCTCTGACCTCAGAAACACTTGTTAAAAAGGAACAAGTTGCAGGGCAGCAATGGTACACACCTTTAATCCCAGCATTCAGAAGGCAGAGGCAGGCGGATCTCTAAGTTCGAGGACAGCCTGGTCTACAAAGTAAGTTCCAGGACAGCCAGGGTTATATAGAGAAACCCTGTCTCAAAAAAAAAAAAAAAAAAGAGAGAGAGAAAGACAGAAAGAAAGAAAAAAGTTACTTCTAAACTGTGTGTACACTTAATTTCTGGGATCTGTGGAATGGTAAGTTTCTAATTTTGAAAAGTAATGTTGGCCAGGCGGTGGTGGCGCACACCTTTAATCCCAGCACTGGGAGGCAGAGCCAGGCGGATATCTGTGAGTTCGAGGCCAGCCTGGACTACCAAGTGAGTTCCAGGAAAAGGCGCAAAGCTACACAGAGAGACCCTGTCTCGAAAAACCAAAAAAAAAGAAAAGTAATGTTAATGAAATTGATTAAATTCATTCCTGTATAACTAAGTTTTATTAACCATGACACTAAGTTACTTATAACTGCTCTATAGCACCTTCCCTAGGTTTCTACCTGCAAACCAAAGTGGTACAAGGTCCTCGAGAAAAGGAAGCACCAGAGAAGACAAACAAAAAGGGTTTTCAAGGTTTACAATGTAACTCCAACCTCCAAGTATCTGGAGAACAGATTTTTAAGGTAAGAACAGAGCCATCACTTTCTATAAAAGGAAATCTGGTCCCTGTTGGCCAGACAAGGTTGCAGGCCATTCATAAAGAGAAGGCAGTTCCCCCCATGCCAACACACCTAAGGAGGCTGACAACTAGGAGGACAGAGATCCAAGTGTCAGAGGCCACCGTTCAGAACCACCGTGTAGTAAGCATCAGAATGAATGAGTTAGTCCTACCATGTCCTCAGTGTGACTTGGTACTCATCTGCTTCCCCCTAAGTTAGCACATCTAGAGAATGGCTTCTTGAGCAAATTCTATGTTCCTCAGCTGCTTATTGAACATGTCTGTTAGAAAGTCCCTGAAGGGGCTGGAGAGATGGCTAAGTGGTTGAGAACAATAGCTGCTCTTCCAGAGGACCTGGGTTCAATTTCTATAACCCACATGTTGACTCACAACCATCTGTACCTCCAGTTCCAGGGGATCTGACACCCTCTTCTGGACTCTGTGGGGACCAGGCATATACATGGTGCACATACATACATGCAAACACTCATACACATAAAATAAAAATAAGTAAATCTTAGAAAAAGAACAGAAAGGAGATATATCCCTGATGCTGAGAGGCTAGTGAGGTGAAGGCGCCTGCCGCCAAGTTAGATCCCAGGACTCACGTGGTGGAACTCTCCCACGTTTTCTTCTTCTTCTCTTCATATGGTGTACACAACAGGCAGATATCCAGATACGAAATTAAAAATGTTTTCTTCGATGGGCAGTGGTGCACGCCTTTAGTCCCAGCACTCGGGAGACAGGCAGGTGGATCTCTGTGACTTTGAGGCCAGCCTGGTCTACAGTTCCAGGACAGGTCCCAAAGCTACACAAAGAAACCTTGTCTCAGAAAAAGGAAAAAAACAAAAACAATAAACGAAAACTGTTTTCTTCAAGTCCCTGAAGCTAAAATCTAGTCTGTAGCAGTGATCAATCAGCAAGAGAGGGCAGGGCAGGAGAATAGTCTTGAAAGACTAACTCTTGACCTTCATTCAGACAATTAACTTTTTTTACTTGCAAAATTCCTAGGAAGACAGACAGCAAACGCTTCACCTCCACCTATTAAAGGAGTAGACCTAGGGACAAAGAATTCCGCCAGCAAGGTACGGGGCGGGACCTTCCTTCTCACAAAATGCTCTTTTCTCTTTCAAAATGGAGACTTGTAAGACCCTATTTTACTCAGAAGAGATTTAAATAAACCCTTCGGAGCCGTTGTAGACCCAGTTCCCTCCCCCACCCAGGAAAAAACAAATCATTCTAGCCCACAGTTACATTTACATTACGTCCTGCCTTTGTCTCCTGGATTCTACAGATTCTGAACAGGCCACTGGCACTGTAGGAAGGAGATTAGATTTCTTCCCCCTCCTCCATTTGGCCAAAACTGTAAATAAATTCCCTTATTTTGTCCCTCCGCTTCTTTGGAATACAGGATAACTGAGGCAGTAGATCTGTAGTTTAATCCCCACGTAACAAACACTGTGTAAAGCAAGCCCCCAGACTGCCCATGGTCTAGCTGGAAGCACAAACTACCTATACATATACCAAACATCCTGGCCAGAACATTAAAAGAACTCATGGTTTGAGGCAGGGTCTCTCTTGATATAGCCCAGGCTGGCCTGGAACTCAAAGACCCACCTGCCTCTGCCTCCCGAGTACTGGGATTAAAGGAGCACACCACAACGTTGGGCAGAGTTCTTTTTTTTTTTTTCTCCAAAAAAGGCAACATGGCAAAAATCAAGAAATTCTCTTTGCCTACTGAATCTATCCCACAGTAGATATACACACACACACAATGGAGCACAAAAACCACTTCATTCAACAGCCTATGATTTGTATTTTTTCTTTTTAACTTCAATCTGTATCAATTAGGAAGCATCTACATGCATCTATGTGGTGAAACAAAGCAGCTGGAAATGCTGCTCAGTGGTGAGCGCGTGCCTGGCAGAAGACCCCAGAAGACCCCGGCAAACGGCGGCACTGGCAGAGGAAAAAGGATCAAAACTAACGTCTTTCCCTTTGTTGGTGCCGGGGGTGGAACCCAGGCCTCACGCTGCTTCCCCTTGGAATTCTCTCTACCTTAGAATGCTGCGGGGAAGCAGCCGTGGCTCCAGAACAATGAGCAGAGATGCAGGGGATAAAGGGAGGGCTCAAGGATGCCCTGGCCATGGGGCGGCGTCTTTTTAAAGGAGTTCCTTCAGGGGAGACTAGGGATGAAAAAAGATGAGCGACTTAAACACTTTATACTTTGAGATACCTCTACACTTCTGTCTCTGTTTTCAAAGAAAAGGGGGAGTGTGAGTGAGTCAGCTCACAGGCCCCCCAGCACTTGGAAGGCCTGGGTAGGAAGACCACCGCAGCTCTTGTGAGGCCAGCCTTTTCTCAAAAAAGGAAGGGGGAGGAAGCAGAGAGGGGAATGAGTCAGGTAACGCTGCTATTAATGACTACGGGTGAGCTTATGTAAATGCAAATAAAGATTACACTAAATTCAAAGATTCCAATGCTGTGGTGGTTCACACCTATAATCTCAGAGTGGGGCAGACTTGAAGGCAGCCTGACTACAGAGTACCCCGCTGGGAGGACACACCTTTAATCCCAGCATTTGGGAGGTAGAGGCGGATCTCTGTGAGTTTGAGGCCAGCCTGGTCTACACAGTGAGGTCCAGGACAGCCCAGGCAAGAGAAACCCTGTCTCAAAACCAAACAAAATAAATGTAACCGGCA